CGTGTGCCTGCAGTCTCCACGCCCCCCCCCGGCCCACAGTGACAGCCAAGCCGCAGACCCAGGGCCGGCGGGGCGTCCTGGCAGGGGCTTCTGCCCTGGGCTTCTGTGGGGAGGGGAGACAGGTGGCAGGCAGGTGGTCTGCAGGCGACGGGCCGGGCTACGGCTGGGCCTGTTTGGCAATCAGGGGACTCTCAGTCAGCTGAGCAGGACTGTTTCTCGGTCTAGCTGGTGTTGGGGGACAAACAGCTCTATTCGCAGCTACTCAACAATGAGACAAAAAACAGGGCCCTGGAGGTCAGCGTCCAGCCTGGTCACAGGTCACCCAGGGGGATCAGGGGTCTCACAGAGTCCCGAGGAACATAGATGGGGCTTCCTCCACATCATTCAGGGAAGTCTTCGCAGGATGCCGTCTCTCAGGGTGTTCGGAAAATAGGAAGTTTGTGGGGCTCCCAATTCCGTTTTCTGGGAGCACAGGCTCAGAGGGGAGCTCCCCAGGGACCCTGGCTGCTCTGGCATCTCCTAGAGGAGTCCACTGCCCCGGGACCCAGCGCAGAGCCGGGGCACGCGGCTGCTCCTGCCCCCACCGGCCTCCTGCGAGAGAGGGAGGAAGTGGCGGACACAGCTCAGGAGAAGAGGCACCAGGGTTCACTGCTCACCGCAGACGAGCCAGCACCAGGTGCTGTCCCCTTGGCAGCCACACCCAAGGGCATTTACCCTGGGGCCACACACACTCATCAGACAGCCAGGCTGATGGGGAGCTCTGGATGGCGCTGAGCCAACACCAGACACCCGCAGGCGGTCCCCGGGGCCCCGTGGCTCTGCGCACGCTCTCTGAGCACTGTGGGCCTGCTCCTGGGAAGCACGCACCCTGGCTGCTGCATCACCTCCACGTGGCAGCGACAGCTCCGATGGTCAAGCGTCCAGGACGGCTCCACCTCTTAGGCACAGCAGGGGTGTTTCACTCAGGTCGGGGGGATCTCTGGGCCCATGGCAGAGGACCACTGGTGTGCGTCGTTGCATACGAGCGCGTTCACTTTTAGCCGCTTGGGGTGGGAATCTGGAGCAGACCGCCCAGTCCTTGTTGCTGTAAATGGGGAGCACCGCCTGTCACAGGCGCTGTCCCAGGTAAGGGGTGGGGGTGCCCAGCCAGGTGGCTGGGATGTCCCCCGCCCAGGTGCCCCCACCCTGCCATTCCCCTAAGCGTGGAGTTGGTTGTCACGCGTTTGTGTCCCTCCCCAGGGCACTGCTCCCTCTGAGGAGCCCCTGGCCCCTCCAGCTCAAGCACCCAGACCTCTGGGCTTGGCCCACCCTGCCTCCCCGCACTGGTAGTTCTGACATGCTCCCCGGGGGTGTCACGTGGGAGCCACTGTCCTGAGAACCAGGACGTAGAGCAAGGGAGGGGCTTCGCTCTCGAGAAGTAACACAGAAACAGAGGGAGAGGCTGCTGCAGACCAGGTCTGGGGACCCTGGACCACCCAGCAAAGCTCCTGAGAGCAGCACGTAAAATAAATCGAGGGGCCGAGGGCTCACTCCTGGGTGTCAGAGCAGCAGCGGGGAGCTCTCCAACCCTCAGAAGTTCCCTTTTATCATTTGTTGCGGGTTGGGGGTAGCGGTGCCCAAATTAACTTCTTTCCGACGGTCATCTATGTTCTGGATAAGGCACAGTAAAACAGTTAACCTCCCTGTTGACGAGATGTTCCTGCGCGCACACACACAATGAAAGAAAGGAAAAGGGACAGTTCAGGCAGCAAAACCGGCAGGGCAATGCAGCCAGAACCCTGGTGGGAGCAGCCTCCCTCCGCCCTGTCTTCACTGGAGGCGGGGGCTCCCAAGCCCTGCGTGGGTGGTTGGGGGGAGGGGTACCGAGAAATGCCAGGCGGAGACCCGAAGCCTAGCCTGGGCCTTGGTTTGGTTGGAGAGGTAACCTCAGCGCCAGGAGGCCGTTAAGAAGGGACCAGGCCAGCGTGCGGCGCGGGGCAGAGTCAGCAGCGAACGCTGCCCAGCGTGGCCGCGGCTGCAAGGCTTGGAGCCGTCAGCAGCGAAGCCAGGGCGGGCCCCCTAACGCAAAGGCCTGGCCCGGGCCCCTAACGCCAAGGCCTGGCCCGGGCCCTCAGCGGCCGCAGGAGACGCTAACGCCCAGGTGCCCACTGCACCCAGCCCCTCTGTCGCCCCGCCTACTCCCTCATTCCCGCCTGCCTCCGCCCCACACAGGTGCCCCACTGCGCAGGCCACCTTTGGGCCACCTCTGGACACCAGACTTCCTCCCAAGTGTCCACGGAAAATCTGCTTTAATGAGCATCACAGGAGCCCAAGGGGAAAATAATCTCAAAGGGCATGCGGATGGGTCAGGGCCCCAAGCCTTTGTCCTGATCGCAGAGGTGCGCCCACAGGGGGACAGGTGACTGCACCTGAAGGTCTCTGGGCTCAGGGTCCTCATCGCAAAAGGGGGACAGGTGGAGGTCCCCCCGACCAGGTCATCACTGGGGTAAACGTGAGTCCTGCGTGCACTGGGCTTTTCCCGGGCCTGGGGCCCCTAACCGTCAGTAGGGACCACCAGGAGGAGGGTCCAGTGGACAGGCCAGCAGGGCCCCTGGTCACCTTAGGTGGCCGCTGTCCTGGCACTGTCACGTACAGTGGCCATGCCCACTTACCCATGCACTCTCCCCTCACTGGTGGCTCAGGAGGATTGACAGCCACGTGCACCTATGGAGGGCCAAGCATCAGTGCATCCAGCTTGGGCGCCACAGCCAGGCCGGGTCAAGGCACCGCTTTCCCCGACCCGCGTGGGGCTGGACCAGCCAGCACACAGCAGGCCGCCTGTTGGGCCCTTGACCCAGGAGCCAGCGCTGCCGGGTCCTGGCTGCCCCCATGAGGCCCTCTGCCCAGGCTCTGCTAGCGCTTGAAGTCACAGCAGAGGTGACGACTGCTGATCTGGGTCCCAGCCGCCATTTTGAACCCACTTCCACAGGGAGCCTGGTCCCTGGGCAGTGAGGGGAGGAAACGGGCCTGCAGTTCTGAGAGCCATGGGCACCCCCCAAGCTGGCCCAGAAACACATCTCGCTGCTGGGTGGGGGCACTTTCTGCCACCTGCCCCCTGAATTGTCAGTGCCTTTGGCTGCAGTGTCCACCCAGATAAGAGATGGAGGTGGAAGCCTGCCCACACCCTGAACTCCCCCGTGGGCCCTGGATGAAGGGGGCACTGGTCAAAGCCGGCCTCACGGGAGCAGAGCTTGACGCTTGGGGGCGAGGGGCTCAGGAACGGCTTCCTACTTCTGGCTGAGGTGCTGGAAGAAACACAGCACTCTGCTCTGTTGACGACTGTGACCCAGGCTGAACGCAAAGGGAAGGAGGCAGGAGGCTTAGGTACCGGCTGTCCTTAGCACATGTGCGTGGCCAGTTGGAGAAGACCTCCAAGCCAGTGGGGGTGCAGCATGAGGTGTCTCTGGGTGTCGGTGGTTGGAGCTGGGTGCCCTTTCTGTGTGGCACCATCCACCTTAGAAAATGCCACATGCCAGCTCTGCCCACAGCCAGACTGACAGGGTGTCACCAGAGACTGGAAGCACATTCCTGTAATACCTGGGAAAAAGTGCTTGAAGTGGTACGTAGGAGCAGTGGAAGGTCATAATTCTACACCGATGGAGGCTAGGGTACCCCCAGCCTCCCGTTCCTCACCTCCCGCGCTTCTGGAGGCGGGAGCACTACCCTTATGGAACCCCCCTGGCCAGGACACCCTCAGGTCCTAGCTCGCGGGGACAGAAGTCCCTGGGGAGCTGGGAGCTAAGAGCCACTGGCAAAGGGGTGTCTGCCCCTCTCCTGGCCCTGCCAGCCGCCAGCAGACAGGACCCAGCAGGGAGCAGACCAAGGGCGGCAGGAGGAGCCAGGCAGGAGGAGGGCAGCCCTCAGACGATGCTGAAACCAGGCCCCTGCTGCTGGGGTGGGCGCCCAGCTGCCTGAGGGCCCGCGACCCCACTCTTGCCCATCTGCATCTTCCGGGGGGGGGTCTCTCAGAACCCACCGTGGCTGGTGGTGGTGAGGCAGGCTGGGCGCCTCCGGGCTCCTCTCCTTGGCACCCGCATGACCGCCCTGGACTTCTGGGACCTGAGGCAGTAGGTGATGGGGCTGATGGGGCTGATGGGGCTGATGGGGCTGTTGGTGTAGACTCAGGTGCGGCAGAAGAGGAGGACCCAGGGGTCCTGGAGAGGCTGGGCCCCCAGGGGGCTGAGCGTCCACAGGATGGCAGAGAGCAGCACGACCACCACTCGCACCTCGGTGACCTGTGGGCTGGCGGGGCTGTGGAGCCACTGGTGCTGGGCCCACCGCATGGCTGGTGGCCAAGCAGATGCCACCAGAGCCACAGCCATGGCTGCTGCCCCAGGACGAGGCTGCTGAGTAAGAGATGAGATCGTTACTGAGATAATCACACGACTGCTGCGTGTCCACTGGGCGCTGTGCTAAACGTTTCCCGTGCAGAGACCCAGGGCCGGCATTCAAGGCTGTGCTGGTTGATACGCTCGTGAAACAGTCCCACCTCCGGTGGTAAATACCCATGCCCTGAGCCTCTTGTGCACCCTGCCCCCCAGGCCTCTCAGGTTCCCAGCGAGCAAAGACCGGATGCTGGGAACAGGGCCCTGGGACCCTGATGCCGCAGTGAGGCCCGGGTGGACAGCACCGCTGCTGGCACTCTGGTTGCCTCCCCTGCACCGGCCTGCCCCCCAGTGTGCTGTTGTCACCTCCACTTGAAGGACGAGAAATCAGGGGCTCAGGGGGAAGGAGCACACAGCACGCACACCATGAACCAGCTTCTCCTGCAGCCTGCTCGTGCTCACCACTGTCCCAAATCGGCCCCACCTCGCCACCCATTCCTGGGTGGGGGGTTGGGGGGAGTGGT